AAGGACAAAAATGACAATAGTTTCCTCTGAAGACCTTCATTGGCTTTATTTTTATTCTAGGATTGGGCAACGCTTCAACCCCATGAAGTAGAGTAAATGCCAGTGAGCTGAGTAGAGGGCTGAAGGGAGCAAAAAGAAAGCACAAAAAACAAACTGGCCACTTCAAAGTTACTTGCCAGAGAGGCTGGGAAAAGGAAACAGAAGAACAGAAAAATAACTTGTTGCCAGCTGGTCCTTACAGGTGACAGTTTTTGTGTAAGGAAGGATCGAAGCAGAGGGAACTTCACTGTCACGACAGCTGAAACTGTTTGGGAAACTTGGGTGTTGATTTCTAGGAAAATCAGAGAGTGATTTGGTTTTGGTTTGGTGATGGGGATGTTTGACATAAGTGACTTCATTGTGATTTTCAGTCCGGCCCTTTGGAAATCAATACAAAAGCACAGCTTCCTATAATGTGTACTTAACATGTGGAGGAAAGGTGAGTGGGTTTCCCAACCCCGCTGCTCAGGACAGGCTCTTCTCCTTCCCAGAAGCTGCCCCCAGATTGCCCACCAGATCTTGTTTTTTGGCATAACTGGGACATCTCACAGCCCCCTGTGTGGGGAGGCACTGACAGCCTCTTGGTGACTTTGACCCAGGCTCCCTGACTAAGGGCTCAGGACCCTCCCTCATTATGGGCACCCTGCACTGAAACTCCCCGCTTCTTTGGGTTGTGGGACGCACACTCTGGAGCCCAGCTCTCCTCTTCCACAGGCTTCCTTCTCCCCTCTTACGGTCTCCTGAGACCTCCAAAAAGGGTCTCCTGGGCTGTCTCTCCCTCTGGTGGTTCTGATGGACCACTGCTTTCTCTAGATACCTGGTAGGAACAGAGGCAGAATGTGGACATCCAAAGTGGCAACCAAGTGCTAAGATCCCAGGAGATGGAAGCCAGGCATCAGAGAGGGGCCCAGGAAGCACCTGCTCTGTACTGGTTCCTGGGATGCCTGGAGGAGCAGCATGAGGTAGCATCATCTCCTGCCGCTTATGGCTTGGATCTCCATGTCCTCCCAAGGCCTCATGCACTCATGGAGGCAGGGTTGCAGGTGGCTGGATCTAGCGGGCATGAATGTGCATTAGGAGGGTGATGCTGAGATTAAGGCTGTAGATGACGGCAGCCCATCCTGGTGTGGTTGGCACCAATCAGCAGGCTTATAGCCTGCACGTAATACAAGGGACAGGAAGAAGGCAGGCTGTTGCCGATGCTTTGTCTTCTGCCTGCCACTCCTCTGTGTGCCCCTCTGCCATTCCGCCCTGCCTTGGAACCAGCTGGTATGGCTGTGAAACCTCTACAAACTGTGAGCTAAAATAAACCTTTCCTTTTTTATGGGTGTGGGGAATTTTGTCTCTGCAACAAGAAAAGTAACTAAGAGAAACACCAAAGTAAAATTACCAGCATGTACAGCTACTCCATCATATGTGACAGTCCTCCACGCATAGCAACAGCAGGATGACACAGAGCTGTGGGAGTCCTAGTCCCACCACCCGCAGGTGTTACACTGCCAATTCAACCAACCTTGGATCAAAACTATTAAAAAAAATACATCTGCACTGCACAGACTTTATTTTCTTGTCACTGTTTCTTAAACCCTGTGCTGTAACAGCTTCTGACATAGTGCTATAGCTGGATCTGGAATGTCCCCCAAAGGCCCATGTTCTTGAGGCACAATCCTCAGACTGGTGCAATTCGGAAGTAGTAGAAACTTTAAGAGAAGGGACCTGGTTGGAGGTTTTTAGGTCACTGAGGGCATGCTCTTAAAGGTGATATTTGGACCTGAGCCCACTCTTCCTCCTCCTCCTCCTCCTCCTCCTCCTCTTCCTCCTCCTTTTCCTCCTCCTCCTCCTCCTTCTCTTCCTTTTCCTTCTCCTCCTCTTCCTTCTCCTCCTCCTTCTTCTTTTTGCATCACAGCCATGAAATGAACAGCTTTGTTCCACCCACCACAGGTTCCTACCATGATGTGCTCACCACAGGCCCAAAGCCAACAGACCATTGACTGAAACCTCCAAAACTATGAGCCAATATAAACTTTCTCCCCTTGTAAACTGATTATCTCAGGAACTTGCTAGAGCAATTATAAAGCTCACTAACAAACATATCATTTATTCTGTATTAGGTGTTACAAGTCATAAGAGATGATTCAAAGTTCTATGCAAATACTCCACCATTTTATAGCAGACTTGAGCACCATGGATTTGGGAAGGGTTCAGTCCTGGAACCCACTGCTGAAGAGGCCAAGGCCCACTGAAAATGCACAGGAAACTGTGTAAGGTTGCACAGCCAATTGCCAACAGTCTATCTCCAGGACCAGGGGTGAGATGTTCAAAGTGATATCAGTGTCATTTATAGCATTTCATTTTCTTCACCACCCTCACACCTAAAAATTAATTTTAAAAACTAGCAGATAGGTGAACATAATTAAATAACGATTCTGATATGCTGTTGTGGGAAGAAGATCCCCCAGGTGTTGACCGTTTGTCTCATGGCAGAGTAGAGAAGAGGAAGGAGGAGGTGGCCAAACCCTAAGTCTGTACAGGGAATTAGAGGGGCTTCCACCTCCACTCACCTCTCCAGAGGTGTGGACTGTCATGGCAGCTAGGACTGGGGAAGGTTCTGGAAACCCGACACATCCAGAATGAAAGCATCTTCTCATGGTAGGTGTGGATGGGATACATTGTGCCACTTGAGAAGTTTAGAAGTTTAACAGAGACTCATCAGGGAGCCAGGATTCTTTCTTTGTAAACATCCTCATCCTGTGCGAAGGAGGGCAAGAAGAGTTTGTGAGTGCTACACCCGCCCTGAGTTTAGGGGTGGGGGTGGCCTGGGCACAGTAAAGGGAGGAGAAGAGGCTGGTGCTTTCTCCTTCTGCTCTGGCTGCTGCCTTGAAGTGTTGCCCCTGTGCCACGCCACCCTGCCTTGGGGCCAGCCGATTATGGACTGAAAGCTCCACAACAGTGAGCTAAATAAACCTTTCCTTCCTTCATGTTGGGCATCAGGTATTTTGTCTTAGCAATGAGAGAAAAATAACCAAGACAAGCATTTTTATCATAGTTCCATATTTTACAGAATCTAACATGTCAGGAAGAGAGAGAGATTTCTAAAAGGAGAGGGTCTCATACTGAGGAAGAAAATGTTTTCTGGATAAATCCAACCTAAAGGACAAAAAAAAAAAAAAACCCTTTGGTAACAATTTTTTAACTTATATGTATCCTGCATTTAATGATACAAGTAACACAGAAAAAATTTCTCTGAACAATTCAGACAATCCCAATAAGGTTGAAGGATCCCTGCCCGGACCTCCCTCTCCATCTCTCTTTGAAAGATGGCCGTCCTGCTGCATGTGATGAACATCCTTCCAGAACTTTCTCAAGGCCGTGATAGACACACACAGAACTACTGAAATAAGAAAGCTTGATTTGCCTTTTGTCTTATATAAGTACCTGCTGCATGCATTCTTCTGCAACTTTTTCCTCTTCACAAATCTTAAAAATCTGAGTCCATTGGTGTGAATCTTTTTTGTTCCTTGTAAACATTACAGAGGACTATAATATCTAGGCACTGGACATTACTTAACTATTTAACATGGTGCTTAGGAAAAGTGGAAACTTCTGTCATCTGACACAGGAAAGCAACCTTTGTTGCCACTCGCACCCCTGTGCACAGACATCTCTCTGCCTCAGTTTCCTCACTGGTAACAGGGTGGCACTCACCTAAGTGGTGTCTGTTTAGAGCCTGAAGCTTTAGACCTCTGCCTTTCCTGTGACATCTCTGTCTTCTTCACCTGACTCAGCCAAGTACCCTGCCTCCTCTCATCCAGCCCCCTGCACACACACACTCGTGTGGCCCTGGATGCCCAGCCTCTGAGGCTTTTGACAAAAGAACATGCAGCACCCTTGGAGCTCGCAGCTGCCTTCAGACTATGGTTCTGCCTCGCTGCTGCGCTCCGCTAAAGCACCCACGCTTGGTTTTGTCTGGAGCTGTCAGGAAATGGAGACAATGAGCCCAGCACATCCTCGCCAACTCTCAGAACCCAAGGGCCTGGCACAGAGGCCAAAGCCTTTGTACCAAGTGTCCCTTCAGATGAATGCTTCAGGGTGGGGACTTGGGAAGAAGAGGACTCCACGGACCTAACCACACGCTCCTACCTCCAGCAGGGGATGGCCCTTTCCCCTCCTCTTCCCCCCGCCCTGTTCTCTCAGCCTAGTGGGGGCTGACTCTCCAAGGAATCCCCAGGGAGTTTACCTCTGTACGGCTCTGCTCCCCACGAGATGGACACAATTTCTAACACTTTACATGCAAGAAATGCAAAACCTTTTTGTTGCTATAATGAAATACTTGCAATCAGATAGCTGATAAGGAAAAACAAGTTTATTTGAGTCACAGTTCTGGATGACAGACAGTCTCATGGAATGACACCAGCGTCTGACAGGGCCTTCGTGCTGCATCGAAATAGACCAGAAGGCGTCACATGGCAAGACAGAGCAAGTGTGCGAGTTCAGGTCACTCCTCTGTTTCTTATAAAAGCCCTGAGGCCATCACGGGGCTCCACCCTCATGACCTTATTTCCCAAGAGCCCTCCCCCAAACACGATAGACTTCCATATATTATCAGCATATGAATTTTGATTAAGTTCCTAAAACATGAACTTTTGAGGGACACATTCGACCCCTAGCATCCCTGGAGGTATGTTCTGCTATTATCCCCTCTTGCAGAAGCAGAAACCAAAGCACTCCAGATAAACACAGTTGTTTTCTGGCAGAGCCAAGCTGGGATTCCAGGCCTGCATCACTACCCCAGCTTCTTTTTGTCTTATATGTGATGAATCAGCAAAGGTCTCCCAAAACCCACTTCATGCATGTTTTATGCACCTGTCATGTGACATGAGGCATTCATGTTACTGACAGGATAGCACAGCACCTGCCTTATGAAGCAGAGCTGAGCAGACAGTGCTCAGCCAAGAGCTTACCCCTTAGTGGGTCTTCAGCAGATGAAAGACAGATTGAAAGAATTACGGATGTGAAAGTGGAGGCCTTTGTACTGGAGGGCTCTGCGCAGCAAGATGCTCCAATCTGGCACCCCTTACTGGGCACCATGCTCCTCAGTGTGACTTCCCAAGATGGTCAGAAGTTGCCTTCCACCTCCCCAAGCCATTTCACAAGATTACCGTGAAACCTCTCAGCTCCCCTACGAGGCCCAGGCTGCTCTGAATGCTCCAGGCTGCAGTTGCCATGGCAGCCGAGTGGGATCTCACCCACCCCAGCATCCTGCTCCTTCCATTGGCTCCCTCTGAATTGTCTGAGGCCTCTCTGTGCCAAGCCCCCTGAGACAGAGAGGAAAGGAGACCCTCAGTCCAGGGAGACCCCATAAGAAGGATTCTTGAAGAAGAGCTGTGTACATACTTGATCACACACACAGGCACACAGTCATGCACACACATGCACAGTCCACAGGCAAGTGGAAAATGAAGGCTCCCACAGACTTGTGGGGGAACAGGCACAGCTTATGAAACAGCTCCCTGATGGCAATTTGGAGACACAAGGGGCACACAGTCTGGATCAGTTGTTGTCTACCACATAACAAATAACCCCCCAACTTAGCAGCCATCCATTGTCTCACATGGTTTCCAGGGGTCAGAAACTAGGAGCAGCTGTGCTGGCTCGGTCTCTGATGGCCACAGTCAGGCCATCAGCAGGGCCATCGTCACCAAAGGGACAGGGGAATCTGCTTCCAGGGAACACTCGTGGCCAATGGCTGGAGGCTTCTGTCCCTGGATACCAGTGCACACAACAGGGCTGCTCAGGACACAGCTTCCCCCAGAGAGAGTGATGCAAGCCCAAGAGGGAGATCAGGAGTGGGTAGAAATCAGCCGAGATAGGAGCTAAATCTGGGGTTCTGTCCTGTTGTGGGAACAACCGGTACAGTGTGAGGGGATAAAGGCATCTCTGTGGGTCACTGGCTGCATATTAGAGGCTATGCACTATATCAGCTGTTGATCTTCCTCTTTGCTAGCAAAACCCCACTTTGGGGCTGAGGGCGTAGCACTGTGGTTGAACACTTCCCTAGCAGGTTCAAGGCTCTGTCTCCAGCACTTAAAAAAAAAAAAATCAATGAGACGACCCAAGAGATAAATCTGGGGACTATGATTGTCTTATGTTAATCAGATAATCCCATGTTTATTGTCTAGAATTAGTTTAGAAGGTGAGATAATCTGATCAATTCTGCCTTGCAGCCCGAGGACAAGTCTGCAGAGTGTACCTGAGAAAAGCTTTTCCATCCTACTACAGGAAAGAAATTACTATTTCCTCTCTGGATGTCATAGATTTGTCTGGAGCTATGGCAGCTGATTTTCAACCATGAGAAGGAATCATTGCCAACAAATGAGAGAGCAAAGAGCAAAGACCTAGATGTGTCTAAAATCAATCAATCCCAGAGCTGTCCAACCTCCAGACTGCTCATCACATGAAATGATAAATTTCTTATTGCTTAAGATTCTTTCGGTTCTGTTCCATACCACAGAAAGCACGCCAGTAGAAGTAGACACCTTGCCAAATGCTGGTAAGTCAGGGGAGACTGCAAGAGAAATTAATTGTCTTTAAGTGGAGCCCTAATAAATGTTTAGGAATTCAGCTCAGCCAGCAGGAGAAAGCATTCCAGACCGCAGGAAGAGTGTGACAAAGCATCCAAGCCCTGAGAGAACATGGTCCCTTGGTGCCTGGAGCACAAGACATCTACAAGGAAGTGACAGAGCGAAGAGGCCACACTGCAGAATAAGCAGTGTCCTAGGCCAGTCGGTCAGGTTCCAGGGGCTGAACTTCAGCCAGAAGTAGTGGGTGTCACAGGAGGGCCACCCCTGAGCCTTTGGAAGCACCCTCGGGAGTGTCGTGGCAGACTCAGAGGCAGGGAGGTGGCAGGAAGACAGGGAGCCGATCCCAGATCAGAAGTATGGGTCATCATGAAGAAATGCCAGGGTGGCATCGGGGCCCGGCTAGAGCCACCAGCCCTCACTGCCCCAGAGTCTCGCAGTGGGAATTTTACTTGCTGTAAAAGTATTAAAGTTGGACCATATCATGCTTTAAAATTAACCACTAGTTTCCCATCATACTGGGAGTGAAATCCAAACCCTATCCTGGCTGATAAGCCTCCGTGTGATCCAGACCCTGCCCCTTCTTGCCCAGTATGCTGCAGCCACACAGGATCTTTCCTCTCCTTTGCACTGACCACAGGGCTTTTGCATGTGCAGTTCCCTCTGCCTGTGGCTCTTTCTGTGGCTTTTTACTGGGCTGCCTGTTGCTAGGCCTTCAGATCATAGAGCAGGTGTCCTTTTCTTGGAGATGGCTCCTCTGACCACCCCACCCAAAGTAGTCTCCGTGTTCCCTGCTACTCTATTATGTGCCCTTGTGTACTTCCACCTGGTATATATCACTTCCTGGAAATATATCTTAGATAATTTTCATTTGCTGTATATTGTCTATCTGCCCCCTCTGTCATGTTTCTTATTAAATCTCCAGTGTTTGGTGCTGTTCTTGACAATGTAGAAAACACAAAGAAATATTTATTCAGCTCATACCCACATCTTCATTTCTGTGTGGAAGACGAGACCACCCCAGTAGATAAGAAATCACCCTCCTTAAAGGTCAAGTGCCCATCTTGTGTCCCATCCAGGTGCTAAGGTGCCTCAGCGGGTCCCTGGCACACCGCACCAGCAACTGTGAGGACAGAGACTGTATCTTCTACATTCCTGGGTTTCTGAGTCCTGACCTAGGCATAGATATTTAATAAGAGCTTGGTTGTGTAGACCAAGGAGGAGGAAGAGAAGGAGGGAGATGGTGGGGGTCTTGATAAGCTTTGTTCAATTACAAATTCCAGCGATTACCCTGGGGTCCCCACCAGTCAGCCAGTCACCTGGTAGCAGGGAGCCCCAGAAATGCAGGTCTGTAGGACAAAACCCTTACCTTGAAGAACTTGCCTTCAGAACAGAGAAGCCAAGCAGAACGGAAGGTTACACCCAGGACAGACAGATGGAAGGGCAGGGCTCTCGAGTCAGCCGTGTTCAAATCCAAACTGCAGCTCTGTCACTGGTTGCTGTGCCCGCTTGGTCCTTGTGTTCAGGTGACAGTGGTCATTCTCACCTCCTGAGGTGGTAAGAGCAGCTCAGGGCGCTGGGGTCCTCTACAGCAAGCACCCTGAGTTCTCATGTAAGTGGCCCTCAGTGCAGTACCCTGGTGACCGCCTGTCCTGCCTAATCATCCAGCAGCGATCAATAATGGTGGTGATTCCCATCACTATTCTCAAACACTCTCCTGGCAAGCGTGGGAGCTCTCATCACAACCACAAATTTTATTAAAAAGCACAGGCCCTATCCACGTCTCCATAGTTACGTTTCAAAAGAGAGCATCATCTTTCAGAGCTATACATATAATACGTGTAAGTAAAGCGGAACGGTGTCAAGGGTTCTCTGTAAAACACCCAGCATGGAAAGGCCATGCAACAAGTGTGGCCGGAAGGGGCAGATGTCCAGCCGGCACCTGTGATTCGAAACCCTGTGGATCTTTGTGTTTTCATTTATGTTTGGGACTTCTCACAATGAAAAGTATATTTTAAAATTTCTCTTAAAAAGCTCCTTAGAAAAATACTCTAACTTCCCAATTTCATAGATGAAGAAGATGAGACTCAGAGAGATCCTTGGTCCTGAACACAAGACCAAGCAGGCACAGAGTGATCGGGTTGCTAATCTCAGCTCACAAAGCTTGTTTGGCAGCAGTCAAGAGTTCAGACCCAGCACCAATCACCAAAAATAAAAAAAATTGCAGGAAAAAAAATAAAACCACAATTAGAAAAATTTATGAATGTCTCCATGGAAAGATACATTTAAATAGCTAACAAGAGCGATGTTAAGAAATCTAAACTAGCCCGCTCACCATCCTGAGCCCCAGGAGAGTTTAAGACCATCACTCCCAGTAGTCAAGAATGCGTCCAGCTCCCAGCCACACTAGACTGGGCTCTGCAGGTTTCAGGCCACCTGGGCCACACCCAATGATCTTCTTTCACCGGAGAACTGTGAGGAGTTCCAGTAAAGATGGCAGATAGATAAGAGCAGAATACAGGGGCTCCCTGAGAGACAACTCAGATGCCAATAACACAGCGTGGGGAGTCCCAGACAGAAGGAGATGGATCCTCTCGACCCAGGAAGAAACTAAAGTGAAAAGAACCAGCCAAACATGCAGTCCCAGGGCTACTATTGAGGCAGCTAAGATTCTGTGCTCTTGCACACCCAAATTCCCGCGGCTTCGACTCCCTTGAACCACAGTCGCATTGAAATCAGAGGTCGGCGAGCCCAACAGAGAACAGAGCCGGTAAGGGACCTGCACTGACCTGCAAGTGAGTGCCAAGAATAAAACCCTTCCACGGGAAAGGAGTACCAACAGGACAGCATTTTGAAATCGGGCAGGACTGGCAAGAACAAGGAACAGCAGTGACTTCAGTCAGTTGTTCCCTTCCCAGATGAGATTGGTGGGAATGCTTGGCCTGGGTCATGCCCCTGACTGAGACCCAGTAAGTTGCCCCAAACCAATTCCCTACACATGGCACACACTATTGCAGTGAAGGCCGCAGCAGGGTGACTGACCCTGAGGGGAGGAGCCAGCATATGTGCCCCTGTTTGCACCTCAGTAACACACTAGAGTGGGCAGGATCACCTAGCCAGCATGCTTCAGAAGAACCATAACCAACAAGGAAAGGGACTGGGACCTCCTCTATACCCTGTATGGAAGAAACCAAAAACGTGAGAAGAGGAAGCAACAAGAAAAAGTCTCCAGCCCCCAACCCTGAGACATTGATCCAGAAGAGGTAAATACAAAAGAGGTTGAGGAAAGCAAACATGTAATATCAGACATGGCATCAGTGGATATAAAGAGATATCTTCAGGATCTCATAGATGAGTTCAAAAGTGAAATATTTAACCAAGTAAAGCAAGATATAAGAAGATTAATAAAAGAAATGCTAAGCACCTCTCAAGAAGACACAGATGGAAGAATGGAGGAGCACAAAAAAGGGAGAGAAACATTTGATGAAGAATATAAAGAAAACATAGAATACATGAAACAGGTTCAAAGGGATTACCAGGAAATAAAAAACTCCATTGAAAGCTGGTAAAACTGCTTGAAAGAAACTAAAGATAGATTATCCAAACTGGAAGACAGGTTTGCAATGTGGGATCATGAAA